CCTTCACAACGAGTGTCCTACTGGGAGGGAGGGAGGGAGTAAGCAAGAGACCGGGCAAGACGGCTAGAGGGGAGGACGTACATCGCTCAAACTATCTCGCTTATTCAAGTCGATCCTTCCCTCCCTCCCTCCCTCCTTCCCTTCCTTTCAATCTATACGCCTCTTTATTCCCTTCATACCTCACGCAATCCTGCGTCGTCTGATATCGCCGGCACGAACCACTGATGTGCCCTGTCCTCCCTCCCTCCCTCCCTCCCTCCCTCCTTCCTTCCTTCGTCCACGGGGTATGCGACAATATTGGCTGTTATAAAAGTGGTGTGCGGTGCCTCGCTCTCCTTTATGCTCGCCGAAAATAAACTGGGCGGGAGGGGGGAGAGGTAGGTGGAAGGGAGGGAGAGGGGAAATGAGGTAGGAACTCGCACCACCAAGGCCTCGAAACGCTGCGGAAGCATGTGTATTCACCGGGTCAGCACAGTGCAGGCCATTTCCATAATAACTAGCATCGACGTCCTCTCCCTTCCTTCTCTCTCATGCCGTCGTGTGGCAGAGCGCTCCAGTACTCAAGCCTTACCTTTGCTTCCCCCCTCCCTTCCGCATCTTTTGGCTTCGAAACCTTTCCCCTCCCACCCTCCCTCCCTCCCTCCTCACCTGGGTTTGTCAGACGTGCGTGTCACGTCGACCATGACGTCATGACCCAGTCTGGCCGAAGCCTTGAACCTGAAATTGTCGAGCTGCACGATCACATGCCGCCCCAACCATGAATAGAGCGCCCGGCTCAGGAAGAGTAAATAGTTGGAATGGTACACCATGCCATCTTTTGCAGGGGAAATGAAGTTCGAGTGAGTCATACGGGGTCAGGCAGGAGGTAGGAGAAGAAGAAGCAAGGGGGAAAAGGAGGAAGGGCAGGGGGAGACGTACATCTGTCGGTATGCTGTATGAAAACCCCCAAAGCGAGGCTTGTTTTCCCTTCCACATCCCCGTCGATTTTTGTTCCTGAGCTCGTGGTACAGACAGGAGCTCCATATCGGGTGCTGCTCGGCAATTTTCGCACGCTTAAGAGGCTTCGGAAGGGGACTAAGGCGTCGATTAAGAACACAAAATGAAGGGCAATCAGACAGAGAAAGGCTGCAGTCGACATTGTCATGGCGATAGTGGCTGACAAAGCTTTTTGGTGGAGCCCCGTTGCATAGACCGGTCTGTTCAATAAATAATTTATGACCGGGTGGGGGAAAAAAAACTTGAGTGCATGTGCTTGCACAGAAACCCACTTCGCAGGCAGCACAAGGACAAAATGAGTATTTCCACGGCAAGGTCCCTTTTGCATATATCTTTTCAAATCACAAAGCACACAATGGATTGCTATTTTGTGGTGGTTATTTTTTGTAGTCAAATGCGGGGGCGTGGCCGAGGAGACTATTGGTTCGCACCCGTTCATGTCTTGATTTCCAAGGGTCAGCCTTTTTACGATGACCACACATTCATTCTTGACTCTTAAAATTGTCTTAAATCGCATAACTTGTGTTTTTCTTGCCTTGCTGGCGAGAATTGGCAAACCTAAGACCTAGCCGATCGAAGTGGGGTACGTAGCCAGGAGAGCTCTGCAATGTATTTATCTCCCGTACTGTGCAAACAATCATGCGACATGAGAAGACGCACATGTACAAAGGAGAGACAAAGTAGAAATATCCATCATATTCAAATCCAAGGGACTCTTGTCTTGTTTACGTATGTAGTGGAGAGGTAAGGCGAGTGTTGACGGTTGACCCTTCGCGCCGAAAAGATGAGCTTTATCCAGTTATAGCAGCCATAGCTCGGAGGATTTATACATTAGCTTTCTTTCATAAAAGGAAGTCAGGATGATATTCGGCGGCAGATTATTACTGCAAGTCGGGTGTTCGAGCGACCTGTACCATGTCGTTTACTTTTTCTCTCCTCGAAATGGTGTGTTTTGTCCGGGCGAGACCCTTGACATGTCGAGCCCGAACGTTATAACCTACCTATACATGAATCTGCTGTGTCTCTGCACGGCCTCTGTTCTGGCCAACACCCGCTGCTCCAAGAATGTATGCTTTTATCTTTTAGGACAAAGTCCAAATGATTCGTAGTCCACGTCATAGGACAGTGTAAGGCAGCAAAACCAGCATGGGATGGTACGCCAGGGATATCCGTCCCAAGTCGGTGATAAAATTTAAACTCAAGTCGTACGTACCTCCTTCCACTTTGCCAATTTGGGTGACCCCTTTCCCACCGAAGGAGGGATCATCTATTTAAAACCTTGCGGACAATATCCATATGACCCCACTTACATAGCGAGCATAATATTCCCTCATCCCTAGCAAGCTTCAGTGCAATTTACGCTGTTTATGTATAGTACGGCTGCCCCTTTATTTCCCCCCCCAAGTATGTCGCAGTTGAAATGGATAACATGTATCCGGCACCATGAAGAGGCTTTAGATCTTTTCCCACAAGCCAGCGCGCTACTTGCAATGGCTTCTACCCTATTCTTGCCATTTGGTTGAGTGAGAAGCGTGGTTTGATAACACAAAATGCAGCATTTTGCCCTCTGTCAGCAATAAAAAAAGCATAGCAAAGCACGCAGGCGCTTGAGTGTTTATTGTTACCTTCGTAGTACGACTTCCACTTGCCAACTCTAAATAGCGAACAGCATTTCTGAAAATAGCCGATTTTCAGTGCCAACAAGCACAGTAAACACGCAAGCGCGGAAGCGCGTGGAGTACACCACTTCTTTTTTCCGTGGAAAGTTTCTCCACACAATACCGTTCTCAGCCGATGTTCTTCATTACAACTTTCTTTTCGTCATGACTACCACATTTGCTCTTCATTATTTCTGCCCTTATGGAAGCTTGGACACTCTCTGCCGTCATAATCCAAATTCCTGCAGACATTTGTGGTCTTTGGACAGCTGATCATCATTGTTGGGGCGTACCTGCCTCTATGCTTCGACCAGAACCTAAGCGTCGGACCATGTGATTCTTTTTCATGCATCTTCCGCTGTTGCTTTTCGGAGTGCCTGGGCGAAATCTGCTTTGATATCCTCCAGGTGCTCAATGCCAACGGAGACCCTGTAAGATGCGGGTTGGGAAGCAGTCATGGGTGCATGGATAGTGGTGTAGTGACATTGTTTTGCTTCGGTGCAAAGGGAAACCTGGAAAAGGACATCTTCGAACGGCACTTGCATCGGCCCGATCGGACGCGGACACTCTGGGCTGGATTCTTCCATCAACCTGTGAAAACACCTCACGACCTATAACATACCATCCCCGAATGTACTCGTCACTTTCTGCAACGATCATACAATCTCCAAAATCTCCAGCAATCTCGCCCGTGGCTGTCGGCTCGCGCAATATTCACCCCATGCCTTTCTTACAAGGGGCTCACAGCACTACCCAGGAGACATGACGACTTACCGAATCATATCAGCCGTGACTCCACTCCCCTCCTGCTCTCTTTCGGTGAGTTGTTGGTGTGTCGTGGAGGCCGGGTGGATGATCAGAGTCTTGGCATCCCCCACATTGGCTAGGTGCGAGGCGAGGACGCAGCTGTTGATGAAGATTGTTCCCGCTGTATGGAGGTGTGGGTGGCGGTGAATGTCGTAGATACTAATGTGAGAGTAACTAGGAGAAAGGGGGGGGTAAGGAAAGCAGTATTCTACACGCACATGATGGCATGTGTCGTAAAAAGAAAGGATCGGAGCTTTTATGACAACCCATACCAAACCCCTCATGGCCATCCACCTCCAGCAAATCGTCAATCCGTGATCAACCACCCTTCTAGGGAAGCGAAGCACCAAGCGCACCGCACGCCGCTTCGATCCAACGAGAGAGCAACCCCCACCGCGTCCATAAGCACCCCCGAAAGCCTACCTTTCCGGCCCCCCTTCACGCCAAAGCTCAGGACAGGACCGAACAAGCCTGGTCTGAAATATTGTCGGGCCCGTTCATAGGACTCGTGCTCCGGCAAACCAGGGTACCGCACCCACGCCACACTGTTGCAGCGGAAGCGAAATGCGAGAGGCGATGTCAGAGAATCCTCCTTGCGGGTGAAAGGCACCGAGAAAGATGGAAAGCGCAGTACATTGTACTGTGTCTCCACTCGTTTCTCCCTTCGCTGTCCTTATCCTGCTGCCGTGTGGGTTCCCTTTCACCCGGTCGTTCCCCTTGCCCGCCTACCTAGAGCAAGTTTTCAGCCAGCGCGCCAAATGGAGGGCATTGTGGTTGATGCGCTCGATGCGCAAGGAGAGTGTTTCTAGACCCTGTTACAGGCAAAGGGGGAGGAACACCATCGTAAACAAGGGCGTATCAGTGTTATGACTGTAGACAACCATCAAGGAAGCGGCCAAGAGAGAGATGGGCGGGACATATAGAGCCTGCTCCTCCGCCATAGATGCACCAAAGTCACAAAGTATCCCTCTGCATTATCTTTTTTTTAAATCCTTGGGACAAAGTCCCCGCATCATTTACCTGCAATAGCAGAAAAGCGCCGAAGGGATTCTGGCACGCACCAAAATCCCGCAGTCCCTCCACACGGGCGCGAACGGCAAACGCCCCGTTGAAACCGAGGACGCTCTGGCCATGGGATGAGATGGATGACATGTTAACATAAATGGGAGAAAGCAGGGGCTTTTTTCCACGAGGAGAAGAACTACAAAAGGATCGACAAAGGGTTGAGTCCCATGCGTGACTACAGACGCGCCATGATTGTAGCCTGGAGGGACTAGTGAAATGGCTTATCGTCTGGTTGCATCGGAATGGGACGCTGGACAAGGCTGCCTCCCGTCGGGAAAGATCTACAAACCCAGCAGAATCGGAGCACGTGGCGGAAGGAAGATTTTCGGTCATGTGCTAATACCACAAATTGCAACCATAGTCACACCCCCTTCACAACGAGTGTCCTACTACTGATCGACGGTAAGCAAGGAAACACAAATTTTAACCCTTACCTTCTCTCCACCAAAGACATCCCAAAATTTCAAGCCATGGTACCCGGGAGAAGGGTCCGTGAACAGAGGGAACTTTCCTAGGATTTTAAAAAAATGCATAAAGAGCATAGATAGGTGAATCTCCATCGGCAATTGGCTGTTGCGTCAATTGCCGCGCCTGAGTCCTGAACACGTAAACATGTGTGTGAAGAGATCGAAAGAGGAGAGGAGAGCAAACAAGAAGGGAGAGAGCATTCCTTCCATCTGCCCCACGCACCGTTGCTCCAATCAAAGGTACCGGCATCCACAATCACGCCGCCAATGGTCGTGCCATGGCCCCCGATCCACTTCGTCGCGCTCTCCACCACAATATCCGCGCCGTGCTGTGGTACGTAAAGTTGGCGCAAACCAATCAATATCACGCGCGGCGATTTCAACGGTGGCAAGGGCAATGCCCAGGCATGCTTTTGATGCATAGAAACGCATGAACACCCACTCGAACCCGTGGGAAACCATAGCAGAAGGGAAAGGGGGGCAGGGACGGAGATTAAAGCTTCTGCCAACCTCAATCGGGCGACAAATGGCCCCGCAACCGCCGAAGGTATTGTCCACAATCAAAGGTATCCGGTGCTTTTCTGCCAGCATTTTCAGTTCTTTGAATCGTGGAATGTTATACTGCGTGGGAGAAAGAAGATGTTTCGATGGTAAACGTCTTACGTCAGGAAAATTCGCGGGTCACAAGCCTTGATTACGCGTGCTTCTCTCCTAGAAAAGGAGCTTTTCTAGTGGAAAAGGACATGCCGTGGCCGGTTGCGATACAACATGAAGCTGCAGAATTTTTCACGGGAAATTTCCTGTCCAAACGCTGCAGAGAGGCCTTCCTGTTGACCTTACCTTAGGATTGCCTAGCGTCTCCACATACAGCGCTTTGGTCTTATTGTCCACCAGCATCTCGAACGAGGCGGGATCGTCATCCGGAGCGAAGCGAGCGCTGATACCAAGCCTGGGCAAGGAGACTTTGAACTGGCAGTAGGTGCCGCCGTACAGAGAGCACGAGGACACTACACCAAGAGAAGTGGTGTTAGTTTTGGGTTTAGGGTTAAGGCCAGGAAGGTGTTGCAGGCGTGACCAATTCCATGCGTGGTACCCGGAGGTTCCTTCCGTGGTATCCCCCTCTTTCCACCTGCGTCCAAATCCGGACAACACCGGCCACTGGTACGTTCATACAAAGCCTGAATCAACCCAGTCAAAGCTTACCGACATTGTCTCCTGCCTGTGCGAGGGTCACGATTGCTAGGAACTGGGCCGCCTGCCCCGAGGCCGTAGCTACGGCCATTTTCCCGCCCTCCAAAGCCGCCACCCGCTTTTCAAACACGTCGTTTGTCGGGTTCATGATCCTGCACAAGGAGGGGGGCAAAAGGATGCAGAAATTGGTGAGACAAATCGCCTGAATTGAGCTCATTAAAAACAAAATGTGTGTGCGGGATAAGTGCCTTCCTGGTCTCTTGATCAGTGAGGATGCCGGAGCGGGAGGGAGGAAAAGCAAGAACAACTATTAAAGGGCAGACGTCGTGGACACAAGTATGACTACGCGCACGGAACGTGTAGGACAAGGACACGCTTTGGAATAGAAACATCCATGAGGGAGGTAGGGAAGAATAGGAATTTAAAAGAGCTCCGGGCACGTACTTCTTAAACCCCGAAAAGAAGAGTCTTACCGACTGTACAGGTTCCCAGATTCTTCCAAAGCAAAGAGACGGGCACCATGTTCGTGGTCTCGGAAGACGAAGGACGAGGAGGCATAGATAGGGACAGCACGAGAGAGGGAATGCGGGTCAGGGGATTGTCCTGTCAAGGCACCCGCGGTGATCATGGAGGGGTGATATAATGAGAGTGCCTTTAGATGAAGCCCATTGTGGGAGTGAAAGGGTGGATTTATACTGTGGATGGAGTGCAAAGCCTCCAAAATGGAGAACTCGGTTATGACCACCTGATTGTCACAATTTGGACAGAGATACTTACCTGCATGTACCTGGAGGGTCTCAAACCTGTGAGTTGGCGAGATCAATGAGAAGCTGATGAAAATGGCTTGTTGATAACAATAATGGGTCCATTTATCGTTGCCTTATTGTACGTGGACCTGATGTGGAATAGGTTTTTGGCGCACTTACCTATATTCAGCCCTTTTTTCGCTACATTCGTCTCCCTCAATATTTGGCTGGGCTTCGTTGTACAATGGCTCCATTTAAAGCTACCTGACATGAGTAAAATGGTCCATGACATGCAGACATATTTATATATTTTTATATTCCTAAGATATGTCCTGGTAAGGGGCATACCAAAGTCTTGCCTTAAACTTATACTAATACCGAACTCCAGAATGTTAGAGCAACCGTTCAAAAAGGTCCAAATGCATGGAGAGCCTTCCCCAAACTCGATAGATGCATGTTTAAATGGCCAGACTAATCTCACATCAGTCCTTTTGACCTGCCCAAACATCTGCCCTTGGATCACGACGAACAGGCAGACGGAAACTTCAACTCGCGCTGCGTTAGGCTACTATGACCTCCCATAAAAAAAAGCCTTTGAGAGAGGAAAGACGCTTTCGAAATGGTCCATGCAACCTGACATATAATATTTGGTGCTTTGTTCTATCTTGCCTCCGTTGTGATGAGAAAACAATTCAGCCTCTGTGGCAAAGAAGTCGTGTTCACATCGTGAACTCGAGATGGACAATAAGTCAAGCACGTCGCCTGTTGATTATCAACGCTTTTGAAGTGGTCGATTTGAGCCATCAAATGCTCCTGCCTCGACTGGTAAGGAGACTTAGCGGTTGTTCGGACACTTTCACACAAGCAAGTCCTCCTAACAAAGGGTAAAAACACCCTACTGTAAACAAACTCAAAAAAATGGCCCCCTCAGTGACTGGGCTTCGCCTCTCAAACATACGCAGGTACACTTTCTGGAAAGTTTTGGCATCTCCAAATATGTTGGAAGAGAGAATGCGTCATTAGAGGAGTTTGAGAATAATGGTATTGTATGTGGGTTATCTAACTACCCAAAGAAAGTGAACCAAAGAACATAAAGGATTCTTTTTCCGATTTACAAGTTATTTACAGTACTTCTTAGCTTTGATCCTAGACCGTGATGAACTCGATCTTATTCTACCATCTATGGCTCTCAAAGACAAATCGAGCCTGAGTGTGGGTTCTAGTACCATAGCATCACGCTTAGTGACCTCCCAATTTGTCATGCGAAACCAAGCCTCCGCGAATCGCACTTATATTCATCAGGTGTACTTTATATCTCCGTTCCCTTCGGCAGCTTCCGGTTCCAGT